TGGATGGACCACTTTGGAGAAAAGTACGCTGAGGTGTTTTCCCTGGGAACTAGTTCGTGGAAGGACGTTCACTGTCCTTATGACATCCACGTGAGATACACAGGGTTCGGTTCTATTCACATTAATGGCTTCCACTATTTTTTGTGTGAATTGGTATCTGGTGTGTTCGTTGTTTGATTGCTCCAGCACCATTTCTTGTTTGTGGTTTCCTTTGTTGCATTGATGTTCAGCGTTCTATTTTGTTTTGTCAATTTTTATTTGCTTTTCGTTTTCTTTTGCTCTTTTAAATTTATTGTGATTGGAAGTTTAGTGGATGCAACTTCTCCAATGATTAATTATGGCTGGCAATGATTCATACAGTCACGGAGGATTTAAGATCTCACATTAGATTATTTGTTCCAAGACCTCCTAACTGGGTTGGGTTACTCTCTCTCCTCCAACCTATCTTATACATCTTAAGTCACCTCTCTTCACATTTAGCATGATACATGTCTTCTCTCTAAACCCAGCATGGCTAAAGAGTTATTGTCTAGTTCTAATTATTTTGTTGGCCTTTATATTTGGTCATTTATTGTTTTTAAATTTGATTGGACTTATGGTGGATGAAATGTTCTGAAATTTTAATTGTTAAATAGGTTTACTGTTAGATGCATAAAGTAAATAATTACCATATGGTAGTGAACACATTAGAGGGTATGCGTAGATTTATGGGCTCTATGGGATTTTTATCTGTTTAAGTACACTTGCTTTTTGTGATGATCTTTCGATCCGAAGAAATCGTGTGATCATGCATTGGTCGGCTTGGTCTGCCTCAACTTTGAATCAAGTATACGAATCTATACTTATATTAAAGGGAGTTCTATTTAACAAACTTAGTAGTTAGAAAAGTATTTATTGTGATTACTATTTCCGTATTATACAGTTTTATTTAATATTTGTTTTTCTGTTACGATTTTTAAAAACAAATATGATCAAATTCTCTCATCATTAATTACTTTCCATTAATTTATTTATTTATTTATTTTCTTAGCAAAAACGGACCAACACTAATTGCTTTCCTTAAGAAAATAATTCCATGGCTTTTCTGAAATATATTTAATTTTAAATTTATTTACATATTTTAAATTTAGTTACTTATATAAATAATTCCAACGTGCATTAAATATATTTCATTACATAAAATAAAAAGAACAAGAAGACGTGTAACTTGTATAACTTTATAAATAATAATGACATTATATGACAACAGAGTTTATAAGTAACTATTATATAGTGAATAAGAATAAGTAAAATTGTTATTTTCTCTTATATCAAGGAATAAATATATATAATAAAATTAAATTTATATTAGTATAAATGTGTTAGTGAGATAATATATTAATTATTTTACAAGTTAGCCCTAACATGCTCACGTTTAATGTTCTGACTAATAAAACAATGCTGATTAAAAGATGTGAAAAATAGATTACAACTCTATTTTTTTAGACTTAACGGTGATTAAAAGAGGTGGAAAATAGATAATAACTCTTTTCAGACTTAAACGAGACTTAACGGTGATTAAAATAGGTGGAAAATGGATAATAACCCTTCTCAGATTTAAACGTACAGAGCCTGTGAAAATAATTCATTTAATATCTCTCTCTAGTGCATGGCACGGGGTACGTACTAGTTATATAGCTAAACAAACATCAATTATTTTCAAAAATAAATTGACTAAAAAGAACGAATGTTGAAACATTGAATTTTTTTTCTTTATTATCTCTTTACTTTTCTCTTTGATAATCCTGTGCTTTTATCCTGATGCTTTTTCCGGATTTTGTAAGTCAAAGTTGTTTCATTTTAGTTTCCAACAGTAGTATGTGATGTTTAAATGATTGCAGGAACTAGGTTTTTTTTTTTTTCCAACATCAATTGGGGTTTTTGTTTGCCAATAGATCACTGCTCTTAGAAAAGGTTAAATGGTTGAAGGTAGGGAACCCTGTATAAAAAGCTTGAATGTAATTACTTGATTTGTTTCTTGATTTTTGCAGGGAACATGTGCAAGCGTAATGTGTTTACAACAATAGAATCAGATGAAAAGAATGTGGATATTGATGAGAATCTTGACGACCCATAGTTATGTGCGACCATTTTTTTGTGATATGTACGAGTACTTAGAGCTCCTGAGGTTTGAATAGTTTGTTAGTGTATTGATGAAGTGTAGCCTCGTTTTCTTAATAACAAGATTTGTTATCTAGGTCCTTTTATTAGTTAACTATAAATAATTAGAAAAATGCTATTTGTACAATAGGGTTTGTATAATGAGTTTGACAATGCCTAGTAAATTATTAATTTGCCCTCAAAGTGTTACTTAATAAATCTACATTTGCATTGTTTTGTAGTACTTTATATTTAATTTTAAAATGTTGTTACTTAAGAACAATACATAAATTTATATATTTCAGTTATTATATATATTATCGCAATAAGTAGTATGTATGTGAAATAGAAGAATAAAAATAAATAAGTACATTTGTATATAATATTCATTTATTATAAACTAAATATTCTAAAAGTTCATTTTAAATATAAGTAAACATAAAAAAAAGAAAAACAAAGATAAATTATTAAAATGTAATAACTATAAAATATGAGTAAATAAGTCATATATTTTTATTAATCTATTGAACATTAATTCAAATAGAACTTTTCATTCACATTGAAAGTATGTTTATCTATAAATAGTTATTTATTAAAAAAAATTATAGATAAGTGTTGTAGATTAACAAAGTGCCAATATGAATAATATAATTGTAAATCTATATATAAAAAAATTGTGTTGTATAATGCTATTGATGCAAACAGTATCACAATTAGATGTAAAAATGTAAGTTACATTTTAGATTAATGCNCGATAATAGAGAGCAACTAGTAGACAACATTCGAGTTATATCATACATTCGAGCAACTTGAAAAGCAATTCGGTCAAAGAAGTTTTTTTTTGGCAATGTACTTTAAAAAAAAAATATCATACATTTTTAAAAAATGGTACTTTTAAATATTCTATATTATGTTAATAAGAGAAAAATAAAATAACATAAAAATAAAATAAAATAAAATGGAAATAATTGGTGTTGAAACTATAAAGTATAGTGTTTCAAAACAAAATGTCTTCATGTTCAATTTATCGAGATAAATTATGAATTTATCGCAATATATCCTATAACTCATTGTACAATTTGATTGTACATGTACAATCAAATTATGAATTTATGAATTTATCGCGATATATCTTCTCATTGTATAACTCATTGTATAACTCATTATGAATTTATGAATTTTACCAGAGTTGTTGACGGTCGAATTGTTGAGAAATTGTTGTGCAGCTAGGCAAACAGGAGCGATGATTTATTTCGTTGAATGTTGCAGACCTAACTGCCTACAACATCCGATGTTCCGAAATTGTACTCATCTGCAAAAAAATTGGAATGCAATGTTAGGTTAGGGTTAGGGTTAGGGATAACAAACAGATGAAAAAAATACCGCCTAGACATAACAATACACACACAACACACACATCTAAAAAAATGATGGAATCGGACGGAAGGGACGAAATTATACTTGCTTGATGAGAGGTGGTGTTGATTGAAAAACGGTTCGTGTTTACAGAGCTGTGTGGTTGTAAATGCCTTCTATTGGCTTTTGAGGGTTAATTAGTCATTTTATCAATTTCGTACTATACAGATGAATGGAATCATTGGAGTAGTAGAGAAGATTAGTTAATCCCGCATACTCAAATTATGACAAATTTACCGCGGGCCGAACATTATATTGTGGTCCAGTATCATAGTTAACAAACAAATGATAAATTAGGATAAATGGACTTATCCTTTCTAATCCCCAAACCAAATGTGCTCTTAGTGAAATTTGAAAGTTGAGACAGAAAAGATAGATTTAAATAATAATATCTAATCCCAAACCAAATGTGCTCTTAGTGAAATTTGAAAGTTGAGACAGAAAAGATGGATAATAATATCTAATCCCTAAACCAAATGTGCTCTTTGTGAAATTTGAAAGTTGAGACAGAAAAGATGGATTTAAATAATAATAATAATAATAATGAGCGAGAGAGCATGAGTTTAATTGTGAGTTTAATCTAAAAAATAGGTTATAAGCCATAAAAATATAAAACTGCATCAAACCGAATATCACAGTTGAGAGTCATCCGATCGGAACAGCGATTGTGCGCATCGTAAGACCATTGGAGATGCTCTAAGCTCTATTCCTTCTCCTACTTAGTTATCGGGTAGTTTGGTCATTTAACATATACTCTCAATCGGACGGCTCATATTCGTCGTCTTCTTTTTTATTCTTCTTCTTTCACCCAGGCCCAAGTGCTCTTTCTCACACCCTCGCTCACGCATACACACACAATATAACCGTCCTGCTTGACCTTTCCTTTTCTCATATTTGCATCATGTGGAGCTAGGGTTTTCTGCTCGAGAAGATTCATTCGATCGCCGTCCATATATCCTCTGCGCGTTGTGCCGCTTCCTTATTTTTATCACGTCCAACAAATTTCAGGTGCGCTTTGGATCGCAGGATCTCTTACGCTATCTAACGACGCTTCTGAGACTGTCTGCTTAGAACTTGTTTGATTTCTTTGTTCATTCTGTTTTCTTCACATTAATATCCTTATTATGTTTTGCTGCTGTGTATTCGGGGCTAGATTATTTTTATTCGAATTGATGTTTGGATTGGTTTGATAAAATGTCACGACTGTGAATTTACCGTTGATAGGAAATTCTAGGTGTGATCTCTTCATGCGTTGTCTTGTCTTAAGCCTTTGGGTGTGACGTGGTTGTGATTGAGGTTCTTCTCTTCATTTTGGAATTTCATATGGATTCGTTTTTCTTATTTTAGGGTTTGATGTTGGACTGAAGCTGGTATATCTGCTAACCTGGGGTTCTGGCATTCTGTGATTTATATTTCTGGGTCATTCCTGGTTATGTTATTGTTGCATGGCGATTGAAAAGAGTGGCTTTAAAGTAGCTCGTTTTCATTCGGAGTTTCATTCGCCACATTCTAAGCATATGCCCATGTCTAGAGATGATGATGAAGATTTTCAGAGGCGAATCTCTGTCCCTGGTGTCGAGTCTGATGATGGTGATGATGAATTTGACGACTGTGATTCAGGAGCAGGTTCTGATGATTTCGATTTACTAGAGTTAGGCGAAACTGGTGAGGAATTTTGCCAGGCAGGTGATCAAACGCGGAGCATACCCTATGAGCTGTTTGATCTTCCGGGTTTAAAAGATGTGTTGTCTATGGAAGTGTGGAATGAGATTCTCTCTGAGGAGGAAAGATTCGCTCTTTCCAAGTATTTACCTGATGTTGATCATGAGAATTTCATGTGGACCCTGAAAGAACTTTTCTCTGGTGATAGCCTGCATTTTGGGAGCCCTATCGACAAACTGTTTGAGATGTTGAAGGGAGGGTTGTGCGAGCCAAGGGTGGCCCTTTACAGACAAGGTCTGAATTTCTTGCAGAGAAGAAGGCATTATCATAACTTGCGAAAGCATCATAATGCTATGGTGAACAATCTCTGTCAAATAAGGGACGCGTGGCTGAATTACGAGGGTTCCAGTATTGAGGAGAAGCTTCGTGTGTTGAACATTATGAGGAGTCAGAAGAGTTTGATGAACGAGAACATGGAAGAGTATGGAAGTGAGTCATCTAACGGAGAAGAGTCTGGTGATGCTCTGTGGGATAAAAAGATGAATGATCGGAAGCTGAGGAAGAAGGCAAATCGCTATTCTGGGTATGGCATGGGTCTTGCCTCTGATGTTTCTTCTCATGGACGGAAAACTGCCCTGGAGCCAGGCAAATATGGGAACTGCAATCCGCGAGGAACATTGAAGTTGTCTGGACCAAAAAGCACTTCAGTGAAAGAGCTTTCTGAGCCATTCCTTTTAATTCCACCCAAAGTCGAAATAAAGACAGGGAGATACGGTTTGGGGCCCCCTGTTCCTTTGTATAATAATGAATCCACGTATGAGCATACTCTAGAGGATGAGGATGGGGCTGAAATTAAGGTTGATGACTCTGGAGCTTCTAAATGGAAAAACCGAAAAGGCCCAAAAGCTGAAGATGATAAAGGAAGCTTAGTGGGAGTCCCTATCTCAGCAAGGAACAATTTACGTGCTCTTGGCAGGAGTAAGGGTATTAATAAGTTGTCCGACATCAAGTTGTTGACTGTGAAACCGTCTAATGTGATAGACATGTATGAGGGAGGTACAAAGGTGAAGTACGCTGAGAATCTTCAGCAATTTAATGCTGATAATAGGGTAAAGCTTGGTAAAGGTCAGAAGTCGTGTTTGTTCTTAAGTGGAAGTCAAAGGGATCTTTTAGATGCAAATGATCCAACATGGCTCGGTGGACAAGTAGGGCTGTTTCCTGCTGATTTATCAAGTAAACCTAGTGGGTCTAATGCAAAAACTAAGAGGTCAAAGATGGGTAGGGAAGCTGTTGATCTAATTGGAAAAGATAGATTACTGCATACCAACTACAGACCTAATTTTCCGCCGGATAAGTTCGATACAGGATCTTTCCATGGAAGAAGAAATGAGGCAGGTAACAGAGTTTTCAGTAGAATATCCAGAAGCGAAGACACTGAATCAGATTCATCAGAATATCTGGATGAGGATAAAGATGACAATCCGTTGATGAGGAGCAGGTGGGCATACCCTGGTGGCGAGCCAGACCAAAAATTTGTTCCAGATACGAAAAATACCCAACTTCTCAAGAGAGATACGAAAAACACTTGTTTAACTAGTGATGGATCGCCACACTTCACTCGGAAGATGGAAAATTATGGAGGAACTCATCTGATGATTCATCCAGGACAGAAGGGTAAGATGCATGATGTTGGCAATGTTTTGCCACCGAAAGATTCTGATAGGAACTATTTCCCAGGAGTAACTGGTGTGGATGATCGGCAACAATTCTACCAGTTGGAACTAAATGGTCATGTAGAAGAGAATCATGGGTACGATTACCAAATGCCATCACTGAAATCCCCCCTGGCGCTTGAGAAAAGGCAAAAGGAGGATGTTTCCCGAGATGTCAGTCTTCCTAAGTCCAGTTATATGCAAAACAATAAATTTGAAGAATACATGGCACGGCCTCTGGTAGCTGATATTGGGGTTCCTCTCAAGTTACGGAAGAAAGGTCAGACGGTTGACAATTCTGCTGGTTATCAACCAGACAGATCCAATGTTCCGTTGATTGGGTGTGAAACTCTCTCCAAGAAGAGGAAAGTAAAGATGGACTTAACATACATGGACCTACGAGATCATCAAGAGCACCTTAATGCTGATACCGAGCTGCAACTTGGTAATATCAGCTCTTCCAAGAAACGTGGAAATAACAAGCTTGAAGATGTTTCCGATTCTCCAAGGAATGCAGTTTCTGAGCCGGCTGCGGTCGAAATGGAAATGGAAGATGTTGAGGCTGAAACTAAACTACAGAAAAAATCCTTTCCTCTAGTAACGCCTACTGTTCACAGTGGCTTCTCCTTTTCCATTATACATCTTCTTTCAGCTGTTCGTATGGCTATGATCACGATGCTTCCAGAAGATTCTTCAGAGGCTGAAAAGCATCTCAATAATAATGCTTCCGAACAAGGATGCAAGGATGAGAATACAGATGCCAACACTTCTGAGCCTTCAGCCCAATCAAGCGTCCCTTCTCTCACTGTTCAGGAAATCGTTACCCGTGTTCGATCAAACCCCGGCGATCCCTGTATTCTCGAAACACAAGAACCACTTCACGATCTGATCAGAGGCGTTTTGAAAATATTCTCATCCCGGACTGCACCTTTGGCGGCAAAGGGGTGGAAACCGCTCGTCGTCTATAAGAAGCCAACGAAAAGCTGGTTATGGACTGGTGGTACTCTCTCTCAAACATTTTCCAACTCCGAGATAGTCATGGAGGAGGTGACTTCACCTGATGCGTGGTGCCTTCCTCACACAACACTCGTCAAGTTGGTCGACTCTTTCGCCAACTGGCTGAAAAACAGCCAGGAAACGCTTCGGCAGATCGGGTCCCTTCCCGACCCGCCACTGACGCTGCTGCAAATCAATCTCGACGAGAAGGAGAGGTTCAAGGACCTAAGAGCCCAGAAGAGTCTGAACACCATAGGCTCAAGCTCCGAAGAAGTCAAAGCCTACTTCCGGAAAGAGGAAGTCCTTCGGTATCTAATACCAGACCGAGCCTTCTCGTACACGGCTGCCGACGGCAAGAAAACGATAGTCGCCCCTCTGCGGAGGGGCGGCGGCAAGCCCACGTCGAAAGCCCGCGACCATTTCATGCTGAAGCGCGACCGGCCGCCACATGTCACTATCCTGTGCCTCGTGAGGGATGCAGCTGCCCGGCTGCCTGGGAGCATAGGCACGAGGGCCGATGTGTGCACGTTGATTCGGGACTCGCAGTACGTTGTGGAGGATGTATCTGATGCGCAGGTGAATCAGGTGGTCAGTGGTGCATTGGACCGGCTGCATTACGAGCGGGACCCTTGTGTTCAGTTTGATGGTGAGAGGAAACTTTGGGTGTACTTGCATAGGGATCGAGAGGAGGAGGATTTCGAGGATGATGGGACTTCATCCACCAAGAAATGGAGACGGCCGAAGAAAGAAGTGATTGAGAATGTGGAGCCGTTGTTGTTTGGGGAAGATGATAAGAGAACGGAGCATGATTATGAAAATGGTGGTGGTAATAATGATGTGGCGGAGGAAGATGCTGGGCCTGGCCTGAGGTTGAAGTCGGTTGCCGAGGAGGATAAGTTGTTATGTGAAGAAAACTCGATGAATGATGATGGGGATGCATATGGTAGGGAGTGATTGCTGCTGTTAGATGGAAGCTTCTCTGCCCTGGGCTTTTGTTGAGGTAATTAGTACCAAGTTAATAATGGTGGTAATGCCTTTGTCTGGATTAGTTGCTGTCTCTCCTGTTTCTAATAATCTTCACGGAAGGTTGAGTGGTATTAGTTGCCGTAATATATATTGTATATTAGGCCCGTTTCACTTCTATGATACCATCCCGTGGAAATATGTAATTGGCATTAGTGTTAAATGTGTTGTTTCCCTTGGATTTATTGAAAAGATTAGGCTATGATCCCCAATTGTCATCTTATGTATCATATAATCTGAAAATTTTCGTGTTGGTTTCCTTTCATATTGAACCCCCCGTCATGTTTGTTTTTTTTTTTAATAATTATCAAATGCAGGATAGAATTCTGGCATTTTTCTAACAACTTATAATTTCATCTAGAGGTTGATAATCTTTTGTGCTGGTGGACGCCTTCGATTGCATTTGTTATTATACAAATGTGATGATATTGCAATTACTTGTAATGGACAACTCGTTTAAGAATCCCAATTAAATACTCTTGGAAGTTGTGTGGTTGGAGGTTCAGCCTCTTGTTCAGGAACTCTGTTGATCGACAAAGAAATTTCGTCTGCAAATTTTTCTCATGAATTTCGTGAGAAATTGGTTTGAGATGATAGAGAAGTGGAGTATTTCAAATTGGAATTGGAGTTGATGATGGAGGTTAACTGAGGATATGGGTGCAATTTTCTATATTCGGGGTTGAAGATTGAGAAGTTGCAGCTGTATGGATGTAGTATCTCATTGTCTTGATCAATTGTCATTTAATCCAAGCATTTGCTCCTAGAAATTTCACTTAATTCCATCAATTTGTCTATTCATCTTCATCTCTAAAAACTCATTTTACTAAATTTCCACCTACAACCTTTGTTCTAATCTTTTTTGTTTGTTTTTAAGTGATCGAGAAAGAACTCGACCATCTGTAGAGGATCAACGGCTCTGATACCAATGGTTATGAACTTTTGTTGGATTTTTTTTGTAATTTTTCGATTTAATTTAAATAAAGAAAGTTCCATAGTTCCAGAAATGAGAAAAGTGATTGTGAGAAAATTGTTAGGGAGGGAGAAGAGAGAGAGAAACATGAGAGAGATGAGAAAAGTGCTTTATAATATTGTGAGGGAGAGAAGAGACGCGAGATAAAAAGAGAGGGGATGAGGGAGAATATAGAATTACTTATATATTTTTCTTCGAGTAAATTGCAATGTTAGTAATGTATGTTTCACTACCTTAACTATTTCGTCCTCTTCGAATTGTATTCTTAATTTTCGTCAAGTGTGTTTGTAAAAAAATTACAAATAGGTAATTTCATAAATAAGGAACGAAAATGGAACTTTTTTTTGCAAAACACATTTTTGTTGCAAAAAGGACCTTTTTTGTAACCTTTTTACAAACATACGAGACGAAAAATAAAAAACACAATTCGAAGAGGACGAAAAAGTTAAGGTAGTGAAACATACGGGACTAAAATTGCATTTTACTCTTTTTGTTCTTATGTCTGGCACCCTTTCACCTATTTATAGATATTCCTTACAGAAGTTGTAATATACTAGTCTATTAACAATTAACATAAAGATTAAAAGGTTCAAGTCCATTTTATATTACAATATAGAAACTAATGTAAAATAGCTAATCTATATCTATCTTTATATAGTAATATAAAAAGGTTGAAAAATAACTTTATAGTAAGTCGACCAGAAAAATAAAAGGTTTGACTGATTATTAGTGGTAATTTCGAAAAAACACATGTGAATATGTAAGAATCAAAATACTCATTTTCTTGGACAATTTGGTCGAATTTTCTTTTGAAACATTTTGGAAATAAATAGAAATTGGCCGAATTTTCTTAAATATGAAACCCCTTAGAATCTCATTTATTTTTAACCAATTTGGATATTCTTATGGCAAAAATATGTCAATTGTTTATGAAATTCAATCCAAATACAAACTAATTTAAAATTCGTGCAACTTCTTCATATTATTTTTATTTTGGTAAATCTAGATTCTATTTTTTTCTTGAAACAAATTTTTTTTTGTTAGACGAACTTCTNATAATTCTTCCCTAATGTTCCGTGTTTCATGTATAACCATAGCCAATAATTTAGAAAAACCAATTCAAATGAATTTCAAAACCATGCATTTAAATGGATACAAATCTTGATACAACTAAATTATTGGACTCACAAAACCAAAAATATTCATGCGTATCCACAACATTTTTTTACATCCAAATAATTGGGTACAAATTTTGATATATTTTAAATATGTATAATTTAACTTATTTTCTATAATTATTAACAATACATGAAAATTTCATTTAATAACTTTTTCTTAATATTTCGTGTTTCATGTATATCCATAGCCGATAATTTAGGAAAACTAAATCAAATGAATTTCAAAACTGTGCATTTTAAAAATGTATACAATCTTAATACAATTAAGCTATTGGATACACAAAATCAAAAAAATCCATGCATATCCACAACGTTTTTTTACAACTAAACTATTAGGTACAAATCTTGATCCATTTTAAATATGTTTTAAATATGTATAATTTAAATTATTTTCTATAATTATTATCAATACATGAAGATTTTATTTAGTCAATTGTAAAATTTTGCATGCATTATCTAAAAAAATCGAGATTTGTTAACAAAACTCCATTAGAATATCCCGCCTCATTTTTACACGTTATAAGTAGGACTAATTCGGTACACATAAACTCACCAAAACACATCACACGTCTTACAAATTAGCACATACACTCACCAGCATACATGTTTTCAAGACGACTTATGCATGGGGTTGCATTGAAGATATTTGGAGGATGAACCGAACTTTGCTCAAACTGCGATATGTACGGATGTTTCAAAGGGCAAACGAATCTCAGTCATACAAGAATGTTCTTAATATCATATTTCATGATCAAGAGGTATGTGTATTAAAATTTCTATCTTACATTCGTATTGTATTTGTAATTATTGTTCTTACACAAGTCTGTGACTTGTAGGGTGGTCAACATTGCTAATTTTGACAACGAATTTGAGGAATGTGGGGCTCATGCTATAAAAACTATCAAGTTGAGAGCAACATTGGCATGCACAAGTCAACTATTGGCAAATACCGAATCATTCTTCATGGTCAAACTAAGAATTATAAGTATACTGCTGATTTTTCCACCTATCGCTTCGATTGTAGGAGCTTTCTCACTTTGTCTGACATCAATAATGTTGATGAATCTATCTTATTCGGTAAGTCAATTTGTTCGATTTGTATAATATATTTGATTAAAATTATTCATATTAGTTCGAATAATAAGATTTTTTTTTTCTTTTTAATTTCACTTTTAGATGAAATTGGATTGGTTGTTGACATTCAGTCAATTCAAATGAAGCAAGTGAAAGGAGTTCCAACTCAAATGATTGTGTTCTCTCTCATGGATCTGGAGTAAGNATGGTTATTGAGTGGAATAATAGGCTAATTATGTATGTTAATCCTAGTATCTATTTCTTACATTATAAAGCAAACTCTACTTACAATTGTGAAGGTCCACCTTCTACCAAAGTATTCGGATAAAAACAGGATCAAACAGGCCTTTAATTTGTGGTATCTATAGTAATATAAAAAGATTGTTGGAAAAATACAAAAATAGTAAGGTTGACCTAAAAAATAATATTTTGACTTACTATTAATGGAAAGTTCAAAAAAATACATGTGAATCTTTATTACAAAATTTGAATCCTATTTTTTTGGTAACTAATTTGGAGATTCTTATGGCAAAATTTGAATTCTATTTTTTTCGTATTATATTTTATTTTTTTTACTAATATTTAAATCATATATTTTTTGGTTACAAATTTGGAGATTTTTATGCAAAAAATGTGTAAATTATTTATGAAAATAAATCCAAATACAAATTAATTTATAAACCGTTTGTATCATTTTTTTTCTAACCAAAATACGTATCCCATTTTTTTTATAACAAATTTGGAGATTCTTATTCCAAAAATGTGAGATATTTACTTTGAAAAAATTTGAGATTTTGAATTGAGTTATTCAAACAATAACGGATTTTTAGATTTTTATCAATTCAAATTAATGTTGTAAATCAAACAAAAATTTGTTTCTAGAATATTGGATGCTATACTAAATTATATGATTTCTTAGTATGTAAATGTACTTTTCATGTTTAATTTATTTATTATCAAACCAAATATTGAATATATATTCCACGAATTGAAAAAGATTATATCGGCAAAACAAATAAAATTATTTATCCTTAGAGTTAACTTTTCAATTAGATTGTTTTCAAACTACAACATTTTCTTACAATTTTGGTGTTCTTAGACATATTTCCAAAAATAGTTTTAAATGGATCGTTAGAATCACATGGTCAATTGAGTGTCCATATTTATCTAACTACAACACTTTCTTACAATTTGGAAAGAATCCAAATTCATATGGACAGTTTATTTTAGCGCAATTTTTGGAAAATCAATCGGGTGAAATTTTGTTAACTTTTCTGGAAAATCACCCGGGATATTCGAAATTTATCTAACTACAACACATTTTAGAAATTAGAATTCTGTTATTATTTTTTGTCCATTAATAATCGTGAATCAATTAATTTATTTAAAAAAGCAAACATAATATTTTAAGGTAATATCTTCTACCATAAAATAGATACCCTAATTAGAAATCTTTTATCATAAAATTCTTATTATTAATATTTTTAGGTTGTAATATATATTATTTATGCATATAGTATTTTAGATATGTTTGAGTATGTTGTTTGGACAAATTTACTACACATATACATATTTTTCTTCCAAAATAGTTTAGAGAGAATTTAAGTGACTTCATGCATTTTCAAGAATAATACATATTATTTTAGGTAATTTTACATATGGTATAATATTTTAGGTGTTTTTAATATTTAAACATACATGTTTTATGTTCTTTTAAACAAGTTAATTTTATTTATCATTTTCAACAAACTGAAATTATATCAATTTAACGACAATTTTATTTTGAAAATTTTTCAAATAATCTTGCTTTTATTTGAGTTTGGAACTGAAAAATTCAAATTATTTTTATCTATTACACGGTTAAATAGATTGACTATAATGGGGAAACCACAAGAATATCTGATGTTAACTGAATACCAACTCAGACAACTCCCTCACCAAAGCTTTTGGACCTGGCCAGGGGTTATCTGATTTGGGTGAAAGATCTGCTTAATACCACTGACAGTGGTTGGAATCAGTGCCTTATCACTCAGGTGTTTAATGTAGAGGAGAGCCATGCCATTTTGAAAATCACTTCATTGAACCCCAACAAAGAAGACCACATTTACTGGGGACTTAACAAGAAAGGATTATTCACTGTTTTATCCTCTTACTCCTTTCTCATCAATAAAAAGTTGCAGGTTATGGATATCCCTCAATGCAGTTCTAACCAGAAAATCCATTGAAAAGGCCAAAGAGAGAACATGGAAACTGAAAGTGCCAAGCAAGATAAAACACTTCCTTTGGAAGTGCTTACCAAACACACTTCATGTCAAAATAAACCTTCTAAAGAAAGGAGCAAAAATTGATCACATATGCCAAACCTGTTGAGAGGAAGCACAAACAGTTCCTCATGTTTTCTTCCCCTGTGATAGAGCAAAAATATTCAGGGAACTTAGTCCTGTGCAGTGGGATAGAATTTGTACTCCTGAGATCATCTTTGCAGATTGGTAGTGGCAAATATGCTCAATAGACAATTCTGATACTCCAGAGGCTCGAATCCAACTCACAATCTAGTTGCAGTGGTGGTTATAGAAGACCCAAACATGTGGATCTTTAAAGAAACCAAAATGCCAGTTAGAATAGCAGTGTTGGCTGCCTCCAAAGACTGGATGGAGTATTCTGCTTGCTTCTCATAATTCAGCTGTTTTTATCCTTAGCTTGTGGTTTGTGTCTGTTATTTTTATGTATCTGCTTGTTTAGTATGCTTTTTCCTATCTCTTGGGACTAGTCCCCTATGCTAGGCAGTTGCAGTGGTATAGAGGCCTATTCTTGTAGTTGGTCGTTGCTCTTTGTGTCATCCCATATGTGGGCATCTAGGCCGCTTTATAGCGTGTCCTCCCAGTTTCTTTTTTGGCTGTTGGTTGCGTTTGTATTCGAACCTTGTTCTCTTTGAGTGTTGGTATAAAATCTCTTTAGTTTCGAAAAAAAAGAGTCAGAGTCAATCCTTGTCTCATGTCGTCTTATTAAGAAAATCGTTTTTAGTCGTGACCAGTTATATGTTCGGTGTCTCCCGTATTAAAGACAGAAGAAGGTTTGCTACAAAATCAAACTAAAAATGTTGTGTATATGGAGTTGTTCAATAATATATGATTTTTCATACTTTGTATTTCTTTTCTTGCCATAATGAAATATTTAATTTTTAATAATTATATTAAAAATAATGTTTTAAAAAGGTTTTGAGGAATAAGCCCCAGTGTACATCGCACGACTTGCTCACTAGTTAAAATAATAAATCAATATAATTCGGCAAAAGCTATTCTCCATATATATATATATATATATATATATATATATTATTTTAAATTCTTCGTCCAATCAACCCTTCACCCTATCACAGTATCACATGCATAACTACCAAATGCCAATTCTGTAATTTATGCACCAAATCACAAAAGATATCATTGAATGTAGTTCACTTCACTCTTTCATCTCTCTATTTCCAATGGTTACACGAAATGAACCCATTGAAAGTAGACAAACAGTATTTTATATACATTTGCATGGTGATATTGAGATGCAATTAATTATCCATGTATCATCAAATAAAGATTTTTAAGATCATTAATTGACGTCCGTGAGATCTGTGAGGTTGTTTTCGATAACATGCTTAGCTTTCCCATTTCATTGTCTGGGTGATTATGCACTGTGAAATATCCCAAGCAGTTCTTCAAATGGCGGCGTTTTGAGTATCTCAATGGAAAGAGTGGTTGGGAGATTTATCGATCTCTTAGGTGGGGTCGAGCATGATGGTTGATGCACCTATGTAAATAAGTGTAAATAAAACATACATGAAATAAAAAAATCTAGCTTAATTTTTCATGGGTTAAAGGTAATATGTTTTTGCTATAAGAAAAATAACAAAAAAATGTGTGATCTGATTATTTTGTTTCTTGCCTTGTAATCTTGAAGGAGGCATTTTCCTGCATTTTCTGTGATTTCCGAAATCTTTCGGTTATGTGCGTTATCGAGTTCCCTCAAGTCTGCACGACAAGGGCTAATGACGGACTCGAGTTTCTCACGTGCCTCGTGGTCAAGTTGTAATGAACCTGAAAGTGCAATATATAGGCCTTCATACTATACAAGGTTTGGATATAATCCTAAATTAAAGAAAATTTACCCTTTATTTTAGCCCAATATACTACCAACTAATTTTATTAGTATAATTATTTTGAACAAAAAAAAAAAAAACACCTCTTTTACGGCCTATTAACTACCCTTTAAGATTTAACTGTTGGAGTGTATTTTTATTAGATTCCATTTGTAGCATCTTTACAATTAAGCCAACAAATAACGAAATGTAGATATGAAATGGGCTTAATTAATTTCTTACGGTTCATGGAGGATAGTAGCTTCTTGTTCTCAGTATCAGCATCTTCCTCTATTGAATTGACGGTTGACAAGAGTTGTCCTCGTAAAACTTGAAGCCTGTCCTTTGCTCCCCTATAGATTAGAAAAACATGAATTAATCCTATGGTAGCTACCTCAACTTTAATCTCCCAAGCCTTATGACTAACCTAACTATTTCATCCACTGAATCAACACTCTTCTTCTCTAGACTAAGCAGGGACTCTTGACCCTTGTTCCATTGTTGTGCCCCAAGTTGTACTTGTTCCAAACTGCAAAATTTAGTTTATAGTTTAGAAAAAAAAAGGCTTGAAAATATATAAAGTGTTGTTAATAATTTTTAGGATTTATTTACCATTTATGTAGGACAAGTTTAATATTTTCTATCCCACTTTCAACTGAAGTTGCATCTTCAAGATAACGAGATTCGGCCCGTTGAGTGTAATCTGCCCATTTTGCCTTAACTAATGAAGTCGTGTCCTGCATGATTGACATCTCTTGTTGTAGTTTCTTGGTTCTAATGGCCATATTTTCTCGAATTCCACCAATTTCATGTTCAACCTGGAGAATGAGCAGAGATTAACATAAGAAAAAACTTTAATGACAATAAGCAAAAGAACTAAGTGCCTAGCTTTACTGTTTCTTATGAAACCATGACAGAACAAGTGATCGAATTACTTTCAATTTTTATATATAAACTGGATAGTTTGATTAGAAGCTATGAACAATGATAAATAATAATACTAACTAATATATGATTTACGGATGGGCGGAATCAAAGAACTATAAGTTGCCAGGAGCGAAGTGTTAATTTATGCACCATGCAATTATTTCCTACAGAGGTCTTCAATATCAATAATTTAGAACACTAACATGAAACCTATAACTGAGAAATGTGGTTGCCATTGTCAACGAGTTTAAAGTAAAACAATGATATCATCTTTATATTGAAGACTGGTAGTAAACCAACTGGGTCTCTTGTAATTTTTTATCTTTCTTATATGTAATTATCTGTAGAAACAAAATCTTGAAGCATACAAGTAGAGAAATAATAGGGGCACATGAATAATTTCGGATTTAAAATTATCTAAAACAAGAGCTATTTGAAACCTTGGTAGATTAAACGATCATGTCACATCATTTTGTTGTAATTAGAATAGAATAATATCGTAATCCCTTTTGCCTATAAACATCTTCAGTCAACATAAACTGCTAAATAGCAGACTGAATAATTCAAAAATAAAATTAATTTCCATAAATGTCTACACACACAGATACCATGTATAGCACAGTTGAAATCTGATTATTCATGATTCATAACTCGATTACATTATATCTTTAGTGTAAGTACATACCCATTTCTTTTTTCTAGCATTTGAATCTGCAAGTAATTCAGCCACAGTTGCCAATAGTTGTCTTTCTTCAAGGGCAACACACTCCTATATAGACACGAGATCACAATCCACTTATGAAAATTTATATGCAAGCTCGTTCAAGACATCACACAAATGCATACGTTTGGATTACCTCAAACTTTTTTTCAAGTTCAGACAACTTATATTCATTTGTTGTTTGTTCTTCTTTCATGATTTTGTCCACCTTTAAAGCATGCGCACTTAAATTCTTGAACAGGTCTACAGCAATTTGAGCAATTGATCGTGTGGATTCAATAGCGTTGCTATGAGCCTAGAATATTAGGTAAAAATATCAGCAATGTTGCATTTTAGAGCGAAGACATCTTCATTTTTTGAATTAATAAATTTCTTACCTCACGTTGTTGTTGTGCATACGTAGTCAACTTGTTTTCCTGACAAATTAGATTTTCTTGAAGATCACGAAGCAAAACATCCGCTTCGAATGTAAGTCCCTTAAAGAGCTGTAGCACGAATAATAAAATTCACAATATGCTAAGATAAAGCTTAATATAATCCAGACACAATATAAATGAACTAAGACCTCTTCCAAGTTTGAAGAATGTTGGGAAACTTCATGATTCAGATGACTGAATGCTGATTGAGAGGTAATATCAAGCTCTTTTGCTAAATCATTTAAGTTTCGAATTCCAGAGCCGTACATGGTTTTCATCTTTTCTAGATAAACTCGAAGCTCTTTAGTTGCCTAGAACAAATAAAGGGTGTATTGGTTTAACACAGATTATAAAATGTACAAAAAAACATGTCTTTAATTATTTTATATCCGGACTTCACCTCTGTTTTTGTAGATACAAATGAATGCATGTCTTTTTCCATCTCTTTAAGTTGTTGTTCTTGCTTTGTTGTTGAAGATGCTACACTTTTATGCAAGATGTCCAATTCTTGAGCTAATTCGGATTGAAAACTTTGTATAAGAGCTCTTTTGCCATCTTCGATTTTATCTTTTCGATTTGTAATATTGAGAATACTTGGGATTAGGTAAAAAAAATGGATACTTCATTGAAGTAAGTATTAGTGTGTTCATGAGTAAATATGCTGACCAATCTTGGTGAACAAGTTTGAAATATCTGAGGCAGAAATCTCTAACTCTGCTCGAAGCTCAAGAGCTCGCTCAGCAAGTGCTTTCTCTGGTGCAAAACGATAACATAAAAAAATATATAGCTACATTAATTTATTTTTGTTAATTTCTGCAAGTAAATATCATTATTAACAAAAATTACAAACATCAATTTACTTGGTGTTAAAATCAATTAAAGATAAGCCATCATCCTTGCATGATCATATTGCATGAGCTCACCTCACTCACCTCCTCAGCATGACATCAGCATGATGTCAGCAGACCTTGTCTCATTGCATGGAGACAACAGCAACGGCTCTCTCACTCCCAAGCAATGTTGGACCAATCACAAGCAAGATAGAGAATATTCCTTGACAGCTTTTCCCCATTATAGCAGTAGCATAGATGATGAACACGTGGCAATGATCTAGCCATTATCTAGAGTGTTCTATACTAGACTATAAATACCTTAGCATAGGGTTTTGTATTTGTATTATCTTCTTGAATGAACATAGCCGCTATGGCATCTGCTAGTGCAAAGCATTTCTCTCATTTGATTTCTTCGATCGATTCTATGTTTTTGTTCATGGTATCAGAGCAGGATTAGTACCTGGCTCTGATTATCACTATCAAATAAAAAAATAAAGGAAAATGTCTGAAACTTCCAGTATGAGCTCGGGGAGCTCAAGCTCTCTGCAACTTACCTCACCAAGCAATCAGCTAGTTACAGTGAAGCTGGATGACCACAATTTTTTGGTTTGGAAGCAGCAGGTCCACATGGCCATACGAGGATATGGACTCGATGGTGACATTGATGGAACCAACAAAGCTCCTGAGAAATTTCTTTCTATAGTACCAGTCACTCTGAATCCAGAATTCATCACTTGGCAGAGACAAGATCATCTTCTTGCTTCATGGATTCTCTCATCCCTAAGCAGCAGCATCTTACCTTTGATGGTTGGTCTCAACACCTCTATGGAGATATGGATGACTCTAGAAAAGAACTTCAGCAGCCAGTCACTTGCAAGGGTCATGCAGCACAAAATGGAGGTCCAAGTACTAAAGAAGGGATCTTTGAGCATAAAAGAATACATCAGCAAGATGAAAGGGTTGTTTGATGCTCTAGCCTCAGCTGGTCACATGGTCTCAGAAAAGGACCAAATCATGCATCTCAGTGGTGGTCTGGAGCAAGAATATAACCCCATCATGGTCACTGTCTCATCTAGGATCGAACCCTGTTCAGTGATAGATATCCAAGCATTATTGATGAGCTTTGAGGCCAGATTGGAGTCTTTTACTGTGCACAGCCCTTTAGTCAACAGTGATGGCACATCCCCTGCTCTCAACACTGCCTTCACACAAAATACCAGAGAAGGATTTCAGTCTGGTTTTCAAAGAGAAAGAGGAAGAGCTCCCTTCAACCAAAATGCTAGAGGAGGCAGACAAGGAAAGGGAAGAGGGGCTAGAGGAAAGGTTTCATGTCAAGTTTGTGGTGTTCCTGGCCACACTGCTGAGAGATGCTGGTATAGGTATGACAATGGTTACATGGAAAGTTCACCTGACAAACCTGCAAAGAATTACATCAACAACCCCTCAGCCAACCTTGTTCACACTCCTGGCACAGCTCCATATGCTCCATATGACTTCACTCAGAAAGGAACCAGTGGTACCCAGACTCAAGTGCTACAAATCATGTGATAAATGACTTCAGCAACATGAGCATTGCTAGTGAGTATTCAGGAGGAAGCAAGTTACACATGGGTAATGGTTCTGGTAAAATTATTCCTCACATTGGTAAGACACAAGTAAAATCTTTAAATTCCGATAGAGTCCTTGTTCTTCAAGATCTCTTGCATGTTCCTAGTGTCACTAAAAATCTTCTAAGTGTGTCTAGATTTGCTCAAGATAATAATGTGTTTTTTGAGTTTCATCCATCTTGTTGTTTTGTGAAGGATCGAGCAACTCAGGAAGTGCTACTTCAAGGGGAGCTTAAACAAGGACTCTACCAGTTCCAACTAGCCAACTCATCACCTACAACCTTCACTCAATCTCAGTTCCTTAAACATCAGTCCCAGTCACCTCTATCGGTCAACTTAGTGCAGTCTGTTAGTCTTAAGAAGGATCTTGTTTAGATATGTGGCATAGAAGGCTTGGTCATTGTAGCTATAAAATTGTTAAGAAAGTCGTAAAGTCCTGTATCTTTTGATTTGAATAAAAATGTCACATTATGTTCTACATGTGCTGTCTCTAAAATTCACAAGCTTCCTTTTAATGATTCTGAAACACAATACACTTCACCATTTGAGCTTGTTCACTCTGACCTTTGGGGCCCTTCTCCCATTAAATCCAAGTCAAGTCACTATCTTAACTTTGTTGACCAATATACCAAATTCACTTCGATTTTCTTTCTCAAACAAAAATCTGAAGTCTTTAACATTTTTATCCACTTCAAAACCATGGTTGAAACTCAGTTGGTTTCAAGATTAAAAACCTTCAAACTGATTGGGGTGGGGAATATAGATCACTCAGTTCTTTTCTTCAAACTAATGGCATTACACATAGAGTTTATTGCCCATACACACCTCAACAAAATGGCACTGCTGAAAGAAAACATAGGCACATCACTGAAATGGGATTGTCTTTGTTGAACTAATCTTCTTTACCCTTAAATCACTGGGATGATGCTTTTGCCACCTCTTGTTACCTCATTAACAGATTACCAACCAAGTCGTTGCAGTTTAAGACTCCCTTGGAAGTGCTTCATCACCATCCTCCTGACTACAGCAGGTTAAAAACCTTTGGCTGCCTTGCCTTTCCCTTATTAAGACCATACAACAAACACAAACTTCAACCAAGGTCAGTAGGTGGTACATTCATTGGTTTCAGTAGTTTTCATAAAGGCTATAAAATTTTGCTACTCTCTGGAAAAGTTATAGTATCCAAACATGTTCTCTTTAATGAAGATGTTTTTCCTTTCAAAGATGTTGCTAAAAAAAATTACCATTCTCAGCATAATTCCTCTAGTTCATCTGATGCTTCTGTACCTATTGACCCTCTTATATCTACTTATCAGTTCATTCAGCAAGTTCATCCTAATACTCACCCTCAAAATTCTCTATCCAGATCATCCTCTCAAAACACCAAAACTCATTCTTTTCAAGGACACAGTCCAAACACTCATTCCCCTAGAAGTGTAGGAAGTCATTCAAGTCATTCTACTATTCCTTTATTTGTTGATTTACCTGTTGAGAGGGATAATTCACCAGAATCCACTCATCATAACACAAGAGCCTCAGAAAATCAGAATAGGCATCACATGATAACTAGAGGAAAGGCAGGAATACATAAGCCAAGAGTTCTGATGGTCAGTGTTGAACAAAGAGAACCAAGTAGTCTAGATGAAGCTCTAAATTCTGCTCAATGGTATGAGGCCATGTTGAATGAATTAAAAGCCTTGAAGAATAACAACACCTGGAGTCTTGTCAAACCACCTAATGGCAGAAACATTGTTGGCTGCAAATGGGTGTTTAAATTGAAAAGGAATCCTGATGGAACCATATCAAAATATAAAGCAAGGCTTGTTGCTCAAGGTTTTTCTCAAGCTGCTGGATTTGATTTCAAAGAGACCTTCAGTCCTGTGGTGAAGCTTTCAACCATCAGAATCATTCTCACTGGTGCAGTACATTATTCTTGGAAGATCAGACAATTAGACATAAATAATGCCTTCCTTAATGGTGAACTTTCAGAAGAAATCTTCATGATACAACCACCAGGCTTTGAAGAACAGACTCATAAAGGAAAAATTTGCAGACTGAACACGGCCATTTATGGCCTTAAACAAGCCTCAAGAGCTTGGTTTCTCAAAGTCAAAGGGACCCTAAACTGTATGGGTTTTAACTGCTCCATGTCTGATAATTCTCTCTTCTTTAAGAGAAACCAAAGCTCAGTTGTTATTGTTTTGATATATGTGGATGATATTCTTGTTACATGTGATGACAACACTGAGGTTGAAAGAGTCATCTCTCAGCTTGGCAAAAATTTCTCTCTTAAAGATCTTGGTGAACTACATCAACCTTGGCATGGAAATTCATAAAACCAAAGATGGCCTATTTCTTTCACAAGAGAGATATGCTCAAGATCTTCTTTCAAAGTTGTCAATGTACAATGCAAAGGGGTGCAAAAGTCCAATGTCAACAAGCTGCCTTTTGTCCAAGAACAAGACTGATAGTAGCATTGATGGCACATTGTTTAGAAGAGTAGTTGGAAGTCTTCAGTATTTAACCATATCTAGGCCTAAGATATCTTATGCTGTCAACGTAGTGAGTCAGTACATGTCTCATCCTCATGAAGAGCATTGGAAGGCTATTAAGAGGATACTGAAGTACATCTCAGGTAGCACTCATCTTGGCTTGGAAATCACCAGATCAGATAACTTGAATGTGGTTAGATTCTGTGATTCAGACTGGGCAGGAAGTCTTGTGTCCTGGAGCTCAAGGAAACAAGCTTCGGTTTCGAGATCAAGTGCAGAGGCAGAATACAAGAGCTTAACTCATATCACTTCAGAAATTTCATGGATCCTTAGCCTTCTTAGAGAATTTAACTTTAAGCCTTCTGTAAAGCCAGTGCTATGGATTTACAATATCAGTGCTATTGCTATGGCTTCTAATCCAGTTATGCATGGAAGAACCAAACACATAGAGCTTGACTATCATTTTGTGAGGGAGAAAGTGGCAGCTCAAGTTCTTGAAGTCAGACATGTGCCTAGTTGTGATCAAATTGCAGATATACTTACTAAGGCTTTGAATGACCAATCTTTCACCAGGTTAAGAGGGTTGTTGCAGGTGAAGTGCTTACCCGGTTTAGATTGTGGGGCAGTGTTAAAATCAATTAAAGATAAGGCATCATCCTTGCATGATCATTGCATGAGCTCACCCCACTCACCTTCTCCGCATGGCGTCAGCATGATGTCAGCAGACCTTGTCTCATTGCATGGAGATAACAGCAATGACTCTCACACTCCTAAGCAACGTTGGACCAATCACAAGCAAGATAGAGAAATTCCTTGACAACTTTTCCACATTATAGAAGTAGCATAGATGATGAACAAGTGGCAATGATCTAGCCATTATCTAGAGTGTTCTATACTAGACTATAAATACCTTAGCATAGGGTTTTGTATTTGTATTATCTTCTTGAATGAACATAGCCGCCATGGCATCTGCTAGTGCAAAGAATTTCTCTCTCATTTGATTTCTTCGATCGATTCTATGTTTTTGTTCACTTGGCAAGACAAAAAAAGGAAAATTTACTTGAACTGACAACCAAAGTTCATGTGATACAGAAAATGATCAGTTCTATTTTCTGAAATGAGATCGAAAAAGTTACTGAAAAAATACTTTTCAATGCCAAATTTAATTTAGCAGAAAGCCTGCCAAGAATAACACGTACCGGATTTTCGAAGATTGGATATCAAGTATTCCTTTTCTTTTATTGTTGCATTTGCTTGTCTACACCTTTCTTCAAGATCACGCAATGAATCCTGAGTTTCCTGTAGCCTTTGCTGAATGATAGAAAAAGTTTGATTAGCACATGACAACAAAACGACATGTATAATATGTTTAAGCTATATGAACTAAGATAGTACCTTTGTATTTTCAAGTTTAAGAGTTAGTTCAACAGAAAACTGATGTTGAGAATTGTATAATTCCTGGACCTCTTGTAAATGCTATCACCAAAGTACAAGTCAATGTGGGATCAAAATGATTTATGTATATCAATAATAAAAAGAGATCCAGTAAAAGTTTTTTTTGCAAATCTACCTTATCCCGGGATTCTAACTCAATATCTATGCGCTCTATTTTTTCAGTCATGGCCTGCAACGTCAAATGTACATCATACTAGGATAAGAAGAAATTTCACTTGACATAATAAATAATTTCTTTATAGAAACATACAAAATGTCAACACACCTTTTTCTCTATCTCTTCCTGGAGATATCGATCTCTTGGGATGTATATCCCATTTTTCTCTTGTGCGGCAAATAACTCTAACAAATATGAAGCAATAAAAGCTTACAACAAAATGGAAATTGATGGTATATACAAGGGAAAAAAAATGTTGCATTTAATAACCTTGCTTTAGGCGATCAATTTCGAAATACAAATCCTTGATTACAGCTGATTTCATCATCTTCTGATTAATCTGTAATCAAAACAACAGAAGATAAATCACATCCATCTGTGGCTACAATGTACGTTTATAAGACATCTAAAATTATTTATTATTCAAATATTGTATACATCTAACCTCTGGTTTATTTTTTATGTTTTTTGCACGGTGAGCGTAATCTAATGTGCTGAGTGTCTCTTCCAAACATTGGATGGAAGGTGATATTGTGGCAATTATACAAGTCTTTGTTTTCCCTCCAAGAGAATCTCTCAACAGCCTTGTTAACTTACTGTCTCTGAGGTGTCACGAGGCGTTAACATTAGTCTTTGCATGAAAATCTCCAAGTAACAAAAGTAATTATTCACATATAAATTCAATTTTATTATTAGTGAGTACTAACCTAAACGGTATATGACCTGAGTGTTCAACTAACGTATTTATGCATCTACCAAGTGTTAGCAAACTCTTGTTGATCTCACCTGCTTCTCTCGCTCTTCCCTGAAAGGTGCAAAAGACTCAAGCCTTAAATAAATATAGGCAATATTGCATTATTAGTCCTACTGGTTTAACGCCATAGCATTTTTAGTCCAAAGATTTCAACGTTTTGTCTTTTGATCCCGTAATTTAGTATTTTGCAGCAATTTCAGTCCTCAAGATTTTTATTAGCAATTTAAGTCCTGTAATTTTAAATTTTGTTGCAATTTCAGTCCCAGAGGACTGAAATTGTATGGAATTTTAAAACTATAGGACCAAATAGCAAAATGTTCAATTTTTAGGACTAAAAATGTCACTAGATCAAATCAACAGGACTAAAATTGTAATTTTGCCATAAATATATGAATGGCATCGTAAAAAGTGATTGAGCAAGGTCGAATTCGAAACCTCTCTTGCCCCCGAACGCGAGACATTTTCGGAGCCAGCAAGATCGACTAAATTAAGCTTGCCACATTTGATCAACTCCTCTCCTTCTGGAGTAGCCTCTTTGATGTGAATCGTAATTGTGAATACGGAATGCGAACGACTGCTTTGTTTGTTGAGAAGAGTCTCGGCTGTTCTCCTCTTACTCAAACCTTTCTCCAATATTTTGTATATTTCATCTGCAGAGCTAACAATCTCCTCCTCCAATCCCCTGATCACAACTCCTCCTTTTCCATCCTCCATAAGTGCCAATGGTTTTTTCGACTTGTCTTCATTGGATCTCGAAAATTCTTCAGGTGCCAAAAGGTCGGTTATGTCCTCATTGTACAACTCTAGGAAAGAGACCTTCATGTTGTACTCGCTCGTCTGGCCCTCTAAGATATCGAAAATTTGCTTCACGGCCCTTGGGATCACACCTGCATCACTCGGGAATTCACCATTCTAAACAAGAAAAATGAGTCGAGTTAAACACGACAAGTGTAGAATGGCATTAGCTACACAATTTTGAGCTTTCACTACCTTTTTTCTTGCTCCACCCTCCATTGTGTATGTCTTTCCAGTTCCAGTTTGTCCATACGCAAATATAGTGCAATTGTAGCCTTCAATAACTTCAAATACTAAGGGGCACACAGCCTCGTCGTATAAATCCTTTTGTTGGGATGATAAACCAAAAACCTAAAAACACTTATATACCGTAAAGAGTGATAAAAAAATATGATCAAACGGGCAATTTTTTTGAATTTATGTTAAATATTATGAGCTATTCATCAAATTGTTAAGACTGAATAGCTAGCATGATATATTGAAGCTATACATGTAACATAATTAATTTTCACGNCTAATTGAAACATCATTTTCATGTAAAATTACATGACATCTGACCTTGTCAAAGGTAAAAGTCCTATCCATCTGCTTATTAGCAATATTCTGAAGTGCACAAACTTCTCTTCTGCTTTCATTGCAAGAAATCACCACAGGTGCACGCAGTTTTGTCTCATCCTCAGTCAATGGCCTAAAATTAATCAATAAACACAAAACGAAAAGTTCAAAGTAAAATACCCAATAGTAAAGGTAGAATTCAAATTCCATAAATTAATTAATTTTACCTGCATCGCACAACAACCTGCACGTTCACACCTTTATCCTTATCCTTGTCGTGTTTCCCGCTAAAACTCCCCTCGCTCGACCGCAAATATCTTGCCGTTTTATTGCTCGACCTCGGAGTTTGCGGTTTAGACATCATTCCACCAACTCCTCCTCTTCTAAGGGAAGCCTCCATTTTTTATTTATTTATTATTATTATTTTTTTTTAAATCATAAGTTTACTCTGTATCTCAAAGCCTTCATGCACGAGATAATAGTTTTTTTGTCCCCACAAATGGTTGCACATTCAAAATTCAATAATCTTAATAAGTCAATGCAAAGGCAACGTTTAGACCAAATTCACCAAATAAAACCCAAAATCTCAATGGGCATGATGAATTGGGCATGCAAGTTGATGATAGAAGAAAGCAC